GCTTAACGACTGAGCCACCCAGGCGCCCCAAATGTTTTCATATTTTAAAGCGCTATTTTGAAGTAAGAATTAAATCCGGTAGCCTATTTTCTTAACCAAGGCTCAGGATACGTGGCCTGTCGTGGAGGCAGGATGAGGTAGAAGAAACGTCGTGAGATCCGCTGAGAAGCAGCCAGCGCCACTCGGGCTCTTCCCGCGTGTTACTCCAGCAACACTTCGGATGCACCTGCCATGCTTCCCGCACTTCTGTGAGCACTCAGCTAGGCCTGAGGCGCCTGGGGGACTCAGTCTGGTGAGCATTTGACTCTTGATTTCAGCTCAGGTCATGAGCTCAGGGTTGCGAGATCGAGCCCTGTGCCAGGCTCTGTGCTAGGCGTGGGAACCTGCTTAAGATTCTCTCCCTCCCTTAAAAAAAAACCAACAAAAAAAAACTTCATTAAAAAAGTCAATTAGGGGACGTCTGGGTGGCTCAGTCGTTAAGCGTCTGCCTTCAGCTCAGGTCATGATCCCAGGGTCCTGGGATCAAGCCCCATGTCGGGCTCCCTGCTCCGCGGGAAGCCTGCTTCTCCCTCTCCCACTCCCCCTGCTTGTGTTCTTTCTCTCGCTGTGTCTGTCAAATAAATAAATAAAATCTTTAAAAAAAAAGGCAATTAGGATTTTTAGTTCAGAATAGTAAGTTGATAGTTGGGAACTCTTTTATTTGAAGGGCAGAAATAGCAAAATACATGCAAAGTTCCGCCTGGTTTAATTAGCAACAATCACTGAAGCATCTGGCTTCTCAGAGGCGGTGGGGCCCCTCCTCCCTCTCCAGCTCCCTCTTCATCCCTGCACAGTCGGGGACCGAGATGGTGGCAGGAGGGGCATGAAGACCAGAGGGAGGAGAGGACCCCGTTGACTCAGGAGCCGTGGACAAGGGTGACCCCTGAGTGAAAAAGCAGGCACCCGGGAGCCTTACAGACCAGATTCCAAACAGGGAGAGTATCTTGGGGTGAAAGGGTGAATGTGGATCCAGACCCAAGGCTGACAAGTTCCTGGATTATTCGTGCCTGCCTCTTCATCAGGAACAACAAGGATTGGCCCAAGACCTCACTGGCCCTGTTCACAGCGGCCTTTAGCCTATGTCGGAATAAGGAAAACACGGAGCTTTCTTACGACACCAGCACACAGACCAGCGTGAAGCTACAGGCAGACATGTTATGCGTGCACACTGACCGATCAGTGTCCCAGCCATGTAACACCACGGCAGGAAGTGCTCCGCACCTTTAAAAAGAGGACACATTTGGGATGCCTGGGGGCACGGTCCATTGAGCAACCGACTCTTGGTTTCAGCTCAGGTCATGATCTCAGGGTCGTGAGATCCATCCCCACATCCAGTTCGCGCTCAACAGGGAGCCTCCTTGAGATTCTCTCTCTCCCTCTACCTCCAACCCCATACTGTCTCTCTCTCAAATAAATTAAGCTTTAAAAAATAAAAATTTAAAAACGACACATTTGCAAAGCAACACCCATGGAGAGCTACCTTGTTCAGCAAGCAGGCATCTCTCTCTCTCTAAAGTGATAACCACACAAACTTGACAGCAAAGCAAGAACTGTTCTACTGGGAAGACGAACATTTGTGCTCCCTGGGAAGATTCTGGTCTCAGAGCCCTACAGGTGGTGACTGTGCAAAGGATCCATCCTCTCCCACATTCACCTTGGATGAGCGACCCGACCACGCAGGAGCGCCGCCCTCAGGAAGAGCCTCCCCGACTTCCCCGTCAGAGGCGGACACAGCCCGTGTCGCCCCTTACCATCCTCCTGCTACCCGCGTGCGTTCCAATCCTAAAACTCAGTTTACTGAATCGTCTAAGACGAGTTTCCTCCATGCCTCGGACATACGTTCCCAAGGCCCACGTGGAGGCAATGAAAGGAATTTTAACATAAAGGTTTTTAATCCAGTTTAAAAAATCCTTAAAACAATCTGCTCTTCAAAACATGAAATTGATTTGGGGTTTTTCTATTATTGTAACAAATTAGGCAAAACCGTATCTCATAATTGTTGAGGGAAAAAATAATGTATTAATTTTCCTATTAAATTCAAAAACTTGGTTGTAGAAGAGTTAACAGGGAAATCAACTTAGGAATCTCAGTGAACAAACACCAATGCAGGTAAAATATAAATTCATTACGTACATGTGCGAACACCACGACCATGATGAACAAGGCCTGCAAGCCAAGAGTATAAAATTAAGGCAGCTACTTTATTCTGAACAAGAAAGTGGCATGAGGAACTCCGAGCATCGCCCCCACTAACAGGAGAGACCTCGCCCCCGACAGCACTCCCCACCCGGTTCTGGGAGAAGAGTGTCTTCTGTCTGGCCGGTCCTGTTGTCTCCTCTGACACCTTCTTACAAGGCAGGCACCGCAGGGGCAGACGTCTGCTTATGGTCGAAGAAACAGGTCCGGATGGAGCAGCGCCGCACGTAAACAATTGGGGAGAGGACTCTCATTTGGGCTGATCTTGAATTAGGTAAAATGAACGTGGTTTGTCCACAGTCCCAGAGTTGCTTCCACGTAAAAATCACTTTTATAATAAAGCTCCTTTCACTAAACACACCGATCGAATCGCCTTGCCAAGGAAGCGCACCTAGCCACGTCTACGGCGTAAGAGGAGGAGGAAGGACATTCCCAAGGGCGAAGCGCGGTGGGACCCCGAGCGCCGCTAGGCTGTCTGCGCCAAAAACGCCACGTACCGCCCCCGAGCCTCGAACTGGTCAGCGGGCCGGTTGTACGCCGTCCACACGGGATCTCCCACGAACAGCCGCATGGCCTTCACGTAGTTCTAGAAAACACAGACACACCGCATGTTAAACCCGCCTCCAAGAGACGGTCCTGGCCGCGCACCTCGGCTACACGTTACGCCGCAGACCGCGGGCGTCGGCGGCCGGGGCCAGAAGCGCTCACGCTCAGACAGCAGCGCCTCTGCCGCGGGGGTTCGCTGCTCAAGCCCGCTCTCTGTAACCTGCCGTCTGCGCGGACAAGCACGGACCCGCCCGCCCGCCGCCCGCCCCGCTCCCGGCTGCGGCCTTCGCACCCTTCCTCACGCTCAGCGGGGCCCCCAGGCTGCTGGACACCAGGGAGGCCGGCGTGGCATCGCCCCTCGGAAGTGAAAACGAGGGGCGCCTGGGTGGCTCCGGCGTT